TAAATAGATGGGCTGATTTCCGGGTTCTCAATTCTATTCCATTGATCTATGTGTCTGTCATTGTACCAGTACCATGCTGTCTTGACTACCACGGCAGTGTAGTAGGATTTGAAATCAGGGAGTGAGATGCCTCCTACCTTTTTTCTATTTTTAAGGCATGTTTTGCTTATTCGTGGCTTCTTTCCATTCCATATGAAGCTGGAGATTGCTTTTTCCATCTTGCTGAAGAATGGAATTGGTATTTGTATTGGGATTGCATTGAACGTGTATATTGCCTTTGGTAGTATTGCCATTTTCACAACATTAAGCCTTCCTATTTTCAATGTATTTTAATTTGTTGATGCTTGCTTTGTGTCCTAATATACGATCAATTCTGGAGAATGTTCCATGTGCACTTGGGAAGAAAGTGAATTGAATTTTAGTTGGGTGCAGTATTCTGAATACATCCACAAGTTCCAGTTGGCTGATTGTTTAGTTTAGAACTTCTGCATCTTTGTTGAGTTTCTTTTGAGTGACCTATCTTTTAGTGATAGTGGTGTGTTGAAATCTCCTACCACTATTGTTGTGCTTTGCAGCTCTATCATTGGGTGCATAAATGTTGATCAAGGTTATGTCTTCTTGACCTATTGTACCTTTAATCTGTATGTAATGCCCTTCCTTATCTTTGATGGTGGTTTTCCATCTGAAATTTATTTTATCAGAGATTATTATTGCCACTACTGCTTTTTTGAGGTTGCCATTTGCTTGGTTCCAGCCTTTGATTTTGAGTCTGTTTTTTCCTTCCTTTTTTAGATGTGTCTCTTGTAGGCAATGTATTGCCGGACTTTTTTTAAACATTCTGCTACTCTTTTTCTCTTAATTGGTGCATTTAGTCTATTTAGTGCATTAAATGTGATTATTGTCAAGCCAAATTTTACTTTTGCCATTTTACAGTGCTTCTTTTTCTGTTGTTTCTGGTTACTGTGGTCAATTCATTATCCTTTGGTATCTCTGTGTGTTGGACTTCTCTTAGAATTTCTTGTAGTTTTGATCTTGTTTTCACAAATGTCTTAAGGTCCTTCTTTTCTGAAAGAATCTAATTTCTCCTTCAAGTTTGATAGACAGTTTTCCTGGATATAGATCCTTGGCTGGCAATTGTCATCTTTCAACTTTCTGTGTGTGGTTTCTGCTGAGAAATCAGAACTTAATCTGTTGTTTCCCCTTTGTGGGTAACTCTTTGTTTTTCTCCTGCTGCTTGTATAATTCTACTCTTATTTTTTAATTTGGAGAATTTGACTGTGATATGTCTTGGTATTTTCCTTTTTGTGTCTAGTCTATTCGGTGTTCTCTATACTTCTTGGATATAGATTTCCCCATTCTTCAAAGTGCCTGGATAGTTTTAATCTAGTATACTTCTTCCAGAAGCTTCTCAGTGATTTCCCTGTTCCTCCCATGTTCTGTAATTCCAATCATATGTATGTTTTTTTACATTTGATGTCATTCCACATAATTCTAATGTTTTCTCATTTTCTTTACATCTCCTCTCTGATTTTTCTTCAAGCATGTTTCTAGTGAGGCTCTTGTCTTCCAACTCACTGACTCTCTCTGTTCTATCTCTGCAATTCTACTTTGTTGTCCTGCCAGCGTGTTGGACACTTCTGCCATTTCAATCTTAATATTCTGGATTGCATTTTCAGGCTTTTCTGTTATTTCTCATATTATGTTGGCTGTACCCTCTCTGTCTTTTTTTTTTTTAATTCATTTTAATGACAATTTACAGAGTCTTATAGTTTCCATTCTTCATTGTTGCACTTTTCTCCCTACCCCCTCCCCAATTAACTCTTCTCCTTGAAAAGTAAAAGAAAAAGCTCATTCATTGTTATTCTGCCTCCTGTCATGACAATAATACCCAATCATATATCCCTTTTTAACAGTTCTCCTCCTCATCTGTTTCTATGCAGTATACATCATTCATCCCCTCCTCTGTCTTCGCTCAACCCCGATGTCAGTCTCATTTTACAATAGTGGCCCTATGCAATATTTGTCCTTTGTGGCTGAAATATTTCAGTCAACATAATTTCCTCCAAGGTCACTCATTTTGTATAATATTTCATGAGTTCCTTGTTTTTCAATGCTGCATAGTATTCCATTGTGTGAATATACCAGAGCTTCTCCATCCATTCATTTGTGGATGGGCATTTGGATTGTTTCCAACTCCTTGCTATTGCGAACAAAGCCACAATAAACATGGGTGTGTGTATATATCTGCTTGGGTGGTGGCTATGGTTTCTTTAGGGTATATTCCCAGTAGTGGAATTGCTGGGTCAAATGTATTTGCAACTTTTTGAGAAAGCACCATACAGCCTTCCATAGTGGTTGCACCATTTTCCACTTCTACCAACAGTGAATAAGGGTTCCAGTTTCTCTGCAACCTTGCCAGCATTTGATGTTTGCTTTTCTGTTAAATTTTTATATTCTTACTGGGGTGAGATGATATCTCACAGTTGCTTTGAACCCTCTCTGTCTTTTGATGATCTTTCAAATTTCTTGTACCTCTTTGTCCATCCTATTAATTTTTTCTTCAATCTTTTATATTTTTATCCATATTTTTTAGAGTTTCTCCTTGTCTATGTATTTCTTCTGGATTGTTGTCTCTGAAGTATTTGCTCTCTTAATGACTTCCATTGTTTTTTCTCACAACTTCATCTTTTCTCTGTAGCTGATCAAGTAACTCTACATCAACATATTTCTTCTGGTTCTCTCTATCCAGGATATTCATTGGGTTTGCTCTTTTAGGGGAAGTGTTATTTTGTTTTTTCGTAATGACTGATGTGGATTGCTGCTTTCTTGACATTATAGGAGTCTTTTCTTAGTAGGTATTAGGCTGTTATAACCATAAAATTACCCAGGATACAGTAATGTTTTGAGGAGCCCTTTTGTTCCCTTCTGCAAGTGGCTTCTCACCTCCATCGAGGTGCCCAGGACCTCCCTGTTGCTTGAGTTAAAGTTTTCCATGAGGTCCAGCTAGACAGCAGTTTCCCCCCCAGATCACCTGAATGGCTAAGGAGGATGCCTGTAGTTCCCTTCTGGAAGTGGCTTCTTACTTCCGTTGAGGTGCCCAGGACCTCCTTGTTGCCTCAGTTTAGGAATCCCATGTGGTCAAGCTAGACAGCAGGTTTTTCCTTAAATAACTGTGGGAGCAGCACAGGCAGCACTGTCCCGTGCCTCCTGTTGTGTCATCCATCTTGTGCTTCCTGCTGTGCCATCCCACTAATTCCATGTTTTTTGACTACTCATCTTTTTTCCTTGGTCCTGAGTTTTACATTCCATTCTCCCATTTTAATAATGCATCTTGGTTGCATAGTCGATCTATTTCCTACTGCAAATTTGGTAGATATCTTCTTTTTCTTTGGCTCTGGATTTTGGTGCATAAATTTGAAAGATAATTAAATTAATTAAATAATTAAAAGATAATTAAAACAATGGGTCTTCCTTCAATGTGTATTGGATATTATTCTGTCACTCACAACATTGTATTTCAAGATAGATCTAGAAGTGGTCTTTTACTATGAATGCATCCCCATTTTTCATCAGCTTTTCATTTCTGTAGTAGGTGATGTGGTTGATTAAAAATGTCCCATGCCAATCCATCTCATTTCATCAAAGCCTAGTATATCAATAAATATATCAATAGGGAGCTTTGGCGGCCTAGTGGTAAGAAGCTGCATTGCAATCCCAATAGCACAGAATTTGAGACCATCAGCTGCTCTGCAGAGGAGGATAGGCAGTCTCCTCCCATGTGATTAACTGCCTCTGAAAACCCACCAGAGGGTTCGCTATGGGTCAATTCTGACTCTGTAGTACACAACAACATGTATGTCCATATTTATGCTATTTCTTCTTTAACAATATTTACTTTTCCTACATTCATACTTCTCACATTCCACATTCCAATAACTGGTGTCTGCATCCAACTGTTCCTCCCCCTGTGTATTTCCCAGTACAAGAGTTTAGCCTCTGATACTATGTTTGCTAGACTAATCTAAGTGTGCTCTAATATACGTATGGTTTTTAAAGGCCTGTTATTTTGGAAGTGGATGGCAAAATTCTTTTTCCTAGTCTGTCTTAGTTTGGATGTTCAGCTTTATAAATAGATCTGACTGACAAGCATTTCACACATGCCCCCGCCCTCCCCCCAAAGAAGAACAGATGACAGACCCTTCTTGACTACACAGCTCATAGATTCTATGTTAGTCTCTGCCCCACCCCCTGACTTGTGTGCATGCATCATGTTCCCATCTTCCTTCCTATCCTATCTCCCCATCTCCTCAGCATCTCACTCCATTCCCTTGCCTCTTTCCACCCCACCAGCACCTTCCTTCCTCCTTCAACTAACCCAAATATGATGGCTCTGGCCTTTGGCCACTTTAGTCATTCTAGGCAGGTCTGCACAAGGATCATGCAAATAATGACAGGTTTTCAGTGCCAGAAGGAAATGATGCCTTGATCACAACTAACCTTGAGAAGAATAGGAATCATAGAACACTTGATTATGCTCATGCAAAACCTGTACTTGGACCAGGAGGCAGTCATGAGAACAAAACAAGGAAACACTGCATGAAACAAAATCAGGAAAGGAGTGTGCCAGGGATGCATCCTGTCTTTTTATCTTTTCCATCTTTATGTAGAACAGATCATTCAGGAGGTTAGACTTTATGAGGAGGATTGTAGCATTAAGATTGTGGGAAAATTCATCAACAACCTGCTTTATACATTTTGCTTTGCCAAAACTGAGGAGGACTTGAAGCGTTTGCTGCAGAAGAAGGTCAAGGACTACATTAAAATTTATCATCAAGAAAACAGATTTTCACCACTGGGGTAATTGGTAGCATCCTAGTAGATGGAGAAGAGATTTAGATTTTCCACAGTTTCAGCTTGCTTGGCTCCATAGTTAACACTCTTGGCACCAGCAGTTGGGAAATAAAAGACAAATTTCATTGGGAAAACCTGCTGTCAGGAATCTGTTCTGAGTGCTGAAAAGTTATAATGTTAGTCTAGAGTCTTAGGTGTGTCTGATCCAAACCAGTCTTCATTTACCTGCTATACATAAAAAATCTGTACAATAACTAAAGATGACAGAAGAAGAATCAATGCCTTTTAGTTTTGGTGCTGCAGAAGAGTACTGAACATACCATGGACTGCCATGAGAACAAACAGGTCAGTTCCTAGAGAGAGTGAAACCACATTGCTCTCGTAGAGTGGAGCCTTGACCTATTCTGCCCCATCCACACTGTCTCTGCCATGTTCAAGTCTACTGTTGCAGGTATTATTATTTTGTCTACCCCGTAGGCTTCCTCTCTTTCACGTATCTTCTCCATTTCCCAGTATGACGTCTCTTTCTAGGCACTGGCCCCTCCTGACAACGTACCCGAAGCATGTAGAACAAAGCCTCACAGTCCTTGCCTTTAAGTAGCACTTTGGTTGTATATCCTTCCAAGAGAGAATTTTTGGCAGTCCATGATATACTTTTCACTAGCACTACAATCCATTGATATTTCTTTAATTTCTTAATCAAAGTACAACTTTCAGATACATACAAAGCAGTTGAAATTGTGGTGGCTTGGATCAGGTACACTTTACTTTTTTAAATAGTCACCCATGCTCTTTAGCACTTTTGTAAGAGCCTTGACAGCACATATTACAAATGCAACACTTTTTAAGATTTCTTGACTCTTGTTCCCATGAATTATGGATCCGAATAAAATGAAATGGTTGGCAACTTCAGCATTTTCTCCATGTCATGATGTTGCTTGTTCATCCAGTG